GTTAGAGAAAAAAAAAGAGTAGCACATCGGCTAGGATTGACGTCGATAAACGAACATCGTCGTTAAAAAAAATAGCACATCGGCTAGGGTTGACGGTGATGAACCCTGCAGTCGAGAAAAAAAAAATAGAAGAAAAAAAAGAGCAAAATAAATTTAAAACTATACTCAAGGCGATGATACTATTGGATTTAGTACATCGTTGTCATCTTCATCGTCGCTTTCGGATTCGACCGACATTGTTGATGAGAAGAAAAAAAATTAGAGCAAAAACCGAAGCTCTGATACCATAATAGAGAAAATGGTGGAGAATTATTGAATTTCTCATTATTTAACATAGAACTTACAACATATTTATAGTAGAAAACGAAATCACAAAATATATTACTTAATAAATATAAATATCTAAAATATAAAAATAAAACCAAAACTAAATATTACTTAATATTACGTACGTAACGTTCTCAAATCTTCTCCATATCTCTTTATACGCCTTTCAAACTCAAGAAGATGAGAAACAACTGTTCGAAGTTGAATTCTCAAAAAACAATAGTTGGATTTGATAATCGAACTAGGATAAATAGTGAATTGTTGGCAGGTCTGAAAAGTCCGGTATGACGCAGAAGTGTGGTGCAGATGCACGTGATGAAGATGAGTGAATTGTTGGTGGATCTGAAAAGTCCGGTATGATGCAGAAGCGTGGTGCAGATGCACGTGATGAAGATGAGTAATACGACTGTAATCTCGACAACGCAAAAGGCGTGGTAGTTTAGCGGTTATTCCGAAAAAAAGAAAAGTGGCGCAAATGTGCGCGGCTAAAGCCGAAAAAAAAGGTGACGCAAATACACGGATGGACGATCGGAGTATTCCAATCGAAGAGACTAAAAGTCAGGTTCAGAAGAGATCTTTACGACGTTTAGTTGTACAAAATCTGATACCATGTTAGTTGGCCCATTGATGCGTCGCGAACTAGGTTCGTAATCATCTAGTTTTAATTACCTAGACATGATTTCCACAAGTATACGGGTCAGTTGTAGAATCTAGGGTCGAACTCTAAGGACTCGTCGGAAATCATCGAGACACAAAAAATGTACTCACTAGTTATAAGAATCGGATGTCTACTCAAGTTTCGGTCGGATGTGTTCGTTTTGCTCCTCACTGGAGAGCGTCGAGTTCTCTTGTGTTTGTGCAACTCCCTGTCCTTTTGGAACAAAAATATAGAAACAAATACACACCAAACATGTAATGAAATAAAGCATACTATGTACAAAAGATAGATTATCGGGTTCCCTCCCAAAAAAAGGCTCGTTTTAAGTCAACAGCTTGATCACCGCGGTTCAACACTCCTTCTGATTGAAGAGAGGAAGTATGCCTCTTTGTTTGCATTCCCATCGGGAAGAGGAAATATGCCTCTCTCAAAATGAAAATGCAGATGAAACTCGACAAGAATCGCAACTGATCAAAGGAAGAAACTGATTCACCTTGTCGATGATTTAAAAAAGAAGGTAAAACGTTGCTCGAGAGGTTAGAGAACTAGGGTTTGTAGAATCTGGATTTTCAAAATCAAAATAAAATGATTATTGTATGGTGGGTTGATTGGATTAATAGGGCTAATTTATCAAGTCCATGGTTTTAATGGGTTACTGTGAAATCCTCAATGGGAAATGATTAGAAACCGAAATCAGCTGGAAGCTTGAAGAAGATCAACGCAGACAAGAAACCAGAAAAGAATACTTGAATTGTTTATTCTACGTTGATGTCTGTACAACGGAGATTCACACCTATATTGAGAGAGAAGAAAATAGAGTAAAAGGAAAGTAAAGATTTGTACATACAAATATTTTAAGTACGTGTTAGGAGAATGGAAAGGTTATATTCTCATGTTGATTTCCATGATTCATTCCTTTATGTGCCAACGTTCACTTCAGCTAATTGCTCCTTAATTCTCTTTTTGATCATTACGTGAATCATGCTCTTGTCTTCTAGTTTCTTGCAGCTAAAGTTACCGAGAGTTACCATCATGAGAACGCCGAGTTTGGGTCTTCGAGTCTTGGCTTGATGTTCGTTCCTCCGTCTTCCTTAACATTCCCCCTCAAGATTGGTCGTCGATTATCGACAAGACCAATCTTGTCTAGGAGTTTGTTGAGAATGTGTGACGTGGTAGCTTTAGTGAGTATGTCGGCGAGTTGTTCTGAGCTTTTGGTGTAGACCGTGGTGATGATTCCTTGGTCGATCTTCTCCCGTATGAGATGGCAATCCACTTCGATATGTTTTGTCCTCTCGTGAAATACTGAATTCGCCGCAATGTGCATCGCCGCTTGATTGTCACAGTGAAGTGGCATTGGATGCGGATTAGTGATGCCGAGATCTTCCAATAAGTGCTTCAGCCATATAAGTTCGCACGTCGTGTTGGCCATTGCTCTGTATTCTGCCTCTGCACTTGATCGCGCCACCACCGATTGCTTTTTGCTCTTCCAAGTAACGAGGTTTCCTCCAACGAATGTGCAGAAACCCGTTGTAGATTTTCGGTCTATGGTGTCTCCAGCCCAATCCGCGTCGCAATATCCCGCAATTCTCGTGTCCTTATTGCATTGTAGCCATATCCCTTTGCTTGGAGTTCCTTTCAAGTATCGCAGTATGTGGTTAACCATATTCCAGTGTAGAGTTGTCGGAGAATGCGTCCACCGGCTTACCTGATTCACCGAAAAACATATATCAGGTCTCCTGATGGTTAAGTATATTAACTTACCTACAACGCGTCGATATAGTGTGATGTCCATGAAACATTCCCCCTCGCGTTGAGTCTTGTAAGCTATCTCCAAAGGTGTGGTCAACGGTTTTGCGCCGAGTTTTCCTGTGTCAGTTAGAAGATCAAGTGTATATTTGCGCTGCGACAAAAAAAATTCCGTTAGGTGTTCGAAGAATTTCAATGCCAAGAAAATATTTAAGCTCCCCAAGATCCTTAATGTCGAATGTACATTTCAGAAAAGCCTTCGTTTGATCGATCTCTGCATTGTCACTTCCGGTAATAATGATATCGTCGACATATGCAAGAATGACAATGTTACTGACATTAGAGTTGCGGAAGAACATTGAGTGATCAGCCTCACTTCTATGAAATCCCTGGGATGTGAGCGCCGATTGGAGTTTGTGATACCACGCTCTAGGGGATTGCTTTAGTCTGTATATGGCTTTATGTAATTTACAAACTTTTCCATCACCAAGATGTTCTTTCAAGCTTGGAGGTGGTGTCATGTAAATGTCCTCCTCCAAATCACCCTGTAAAAATGTGTTTCTCACATCCATCTGCCACAAATCCCAAGACAAGTTAGTTGCTAAAGACAAAATTACTCGAAATGATTTAAGGTTAGCAACGGGAGCGAATGTGTCTGTATAGTCCTCTCCGTATGTTTATGTGAACCCTTTTGCGACTAATCACGCTTTGTAACGTTCTATGTCCCCGTTGCTCTTGTATTTGATTTTGTAAATCCATTTGCTTCCAACGCCTTTCTTGTCTTTGGGTAAGGTCGTGACTGTCCAAGTTTTGTTTCGTTCGAGAGCGTTGATTTCTTCTTGCATGGCATCCCTCCAAACTTGGTGTTGGTTTGCCTCATCAAATGTGAATGGTTCTGTCCCCTGGTCGAGTTTACTGAGAAAAACAATCTCATTAGTGGGTAAATGATCAATAGAATAACAGTTTTGTATAGGATATTTAACCGTATAGCCATTAAGGTGTTGTTCTCCCTGTGTTGTGTGTGATCGGGAGACCTCCTGTGTGTGTGATGCATGTTCTCTGTATCGTGCGGGGGTTTGGATGTTGCGGCGTTGTCTGTCACGAGCCAACATATAGTCCTGTAATTCGGCGTGACTTCCATGATCAGGTTCGATAGTGATTTGAGCTGGGTCTGATTCTGGTTCATGGCGAATCAACTCCGGTACAGCTTCAGATTCCGCGTCGCCTCAAACATGGTCTGAGTTTTCTTCTGATTCCGCTGTTGTTCGAGTTTGATGTTCTTGGATGTTTGTTTCCTGCAGAAAGTCAAAGTTACCTGGTTGAGAGAGATTGAGTTCCCCTTGTTGGTTGTTTGCGTCTTCTGGTTGTGACACGATAGCAGGGGAATCCATATTCGACTCCTTGTTTTGTTCAGAGTTTATTGGAGGGTTGTTTGTTGATTCTCGGGCAAGCTCTAGAAGATGACGTGCTGATATTTGAAAATTAGGTGATGCAGGGGACAAATCATCTAAGGTTTCTCGTTGCTTGTGCAGGAAGTATGGTTGGTCCTCTTCAAAGATTACATCCCTTGAAATATATAAATGTCGGCTAGTAGGATGATAACACATACCCTTTTTGGGTCGATGGGTAGCCAAGAAAAATGCATTTCGTACTTTTCGGATCTAACTTGGTCCGTGAGCCATCTGCAATCAAAGGGTAGCACACACATCCAAAAACTCGCAAGTGTGAAATCGAATCTTAAGATTTGTGCAATACCTCGAATGGAGATTTATCGCTCAACACTTTCGCCGGTAATCGATTAATGATGTAGCATGCAAGTGTGACAGTATCTCCCCAATAAGACTTAGGCGCATTTCGGTGTAGAAGAAGTGTTCTAGTCACTTCGATCAAATGTCGGTTTTTGCATTCGGCTACACCGCTTTGTTGAGACGTATATGGGCATGATCTTTGATGAACGACACTATTGGAGGCCAAGAAATCTGAAAATTGTTTACTCATATATTCTCCTTCGCTATCCATTCTTAATGTCTTGACCTTGCACTCAAAATGGTTAGAGACATAGGCAAAGAAATGTTTAAACACATCAAATACACCACTTTTTTTCGGAAGAAGATAAATCCATGTGTAATTGAATTTTTCATCAATAAACGAAACAAAATACTTATTTTGATCCCGAGAAAATACGGGAGATGTCAAAACATCCGAATGGACCAAATCAAAGCAATGTTCGTACGTAGTAGTAGAATTTGGAAAAACACTATGACAATGTTTGCCTAAAACACAAGCCTCACAAAAAGTGTTATCGAAACTTGAATTAGGAACAAGCATCTTTAGCACTTTGTGATGGGGATGTCCAAGTCTTGCATGCCATATTGAAGAGAAAGCAAATTCGGAAGAAAAACTAGGCTCTTCAAGAAGATATAGGTTGTCCCTTTTGAAGCCTTTTCCAAGAGTAGTTCCGGTTTTAGTATCCTGAAAGACAACCTTGTTAGAATCGAAAATAACCGAACAATCTATTTGTTGAGTAAGTGCTGGAATTGAAAGTAAATTGGTTTTAAAATCTGGAACATGATAGGCCGGAACAGTTTTATCGAACACACATAAATCACCTTGGCCAAGAATGGGTACATGCTTTCCATTAGCTACTGATACTAATCCTTTTAAACGCTTAATATTACGTAATAGTTCCGAATCACTGATCATATGACTTGTTGCACCTGAGTCAATAATAAGTGAGTTTCGAAGTAATTTAGTGCAGGAAGAGATGTTACCGGACTCCTTGTCTTTCATGGCAAGGAGGAGTTGTTTAAATCCTTGGATTTCATCCGAGGTGAAACTCATTGTGTTTGTTGCCGTCATTGCTTGTCCTCGGTTGTGTGGAGCATCACGGTACATAGTCGGCTTGAGATGCGGGTGAAGAACCCAACACTTGTCACGCACATGATCGGATCGTTTGTAGTGATCGCACATCAGCCCTCGTCGGTCTCCATCACGTTCACGAGCACGATCAGAATCACGGCTTCGCTCACGACGGTTCGAGTGACTTGGAGAATACGGACCTGGACCTCTGCGGAAGTGTGCCATCTCGCTAGGCCCTGCAAACAGGTTACGTCCAGCTTCTTCTCTTTTTAACATCATGCATACCTCGTCATATTTGGGCAAACGGTCTTGGCGGAGTATGTGGTAGATCAAGTCATTGTACGATCCATCCAAGGTGAGAAGAATAGAGAATACTTTATCTTCCTCCAACCTATCCTTGAAAGCTTTGAGATTCACCGTAGGTGGGCATAACTCTTCCAATTCAGTCCACAATGCACTAAATTCTCCGTGGATGACGTTGAACGACTTACCGTTCTGCTGCAAGGTAAACATCCTTTTCTTAAGTTCAAATATGCGACATAAGTTAGTCACATTACCGTACACATTTTGTAATGTTTCCCACAGCTCCTTTGTCGTTTCCGGTGCTATGAACGACTTGAGGATATTGGAGTCCAAGGAGCTTTGGAGAATTGCCAAGGCAAGGTTGTCCTCTTGAACCCACTTGCTGTTCTCGGCAACTTGACGTGCAATAGTCTCAGCGTTTGCAGTCTGATCAGCGTCGGTTTCAGCAAATGCCGCTTGATTCTCGTCCGAGTCTGTGGTTTGCGTTTTGGTGATATGATCCCAAAGGCCAAGGCTTTTAAGGACGGCCTTAGCTGCTTTCGACCAATAAAAGTAGTTCTCTCCCATTAAGGTGACAGGGATAAGCTTCGCGACAACGTTCTCCATTGCTTGAGGCGAAAAGATGAAAGGAATCTGGTTTGGGGGTTTAAGATAGATCTATTTGAAGAGATTTCGGTATTCTTAGCCAACCAGGCTCTGATACCATGTGAAATCCTCAATGGGAAATGATTAGAAACAAAAATCAGCTGGAGGCTTGAAGAAGATCAATGCAGACAAGAAACCAGAAAAGAATACTTGAATTGTTTATTCTACGTTGATGTCTATACAATGGAGATTGACACCTATATTGAGAGAGAAGAAAATAGAGTAAAAGGAAAGTAAAGATTTGTACATACAAATATGTTAAGTACGTGTTAGGAGAATGGAAAGGTTCCATTCTCATGTTGATTTCCATGATTCATTCCTTTATGTGCCAACGTTCACTTCAGCTAATTGCTCCTTAATTCTCCTTTTGACCATTACGTGAATCATACTCTTGTCTTCTAGTTTCTTGCAGCTAAAGTTACCGAGAGTTACCGTCATGAGAATGCCGAGTTTGGCTCTTCGAGTCTTGGCTTGATGTTCGTTCCTTCGTCTTCCTCAACATTACAACCCATCAAACCGATTAAATAAAAATGACTAAAAATGGGTTGAGTTGGGTTATTAATCCGAGAGTCATCTTCGGGCGTGGGTTGTCTCACATATAATATTGGAAATTGACCAAATGTTTCATTTTTTTTAATATCCGTGTTGGAGATTGAGTTTTGTATCTAATATCTATGTGTGTAACTCTAATCACGACATATGGCATGATTTAATTTTAATTTTATTTTCCCGCTAATTGGTTGCATGTCAATGGAATAAAATCTTGGTTACAGGTGATATATCGTAGATGGGCAAAAGATAAGTTTTGCCTCGTTGGGATACTTAATTAAAATACTTGTTTTTATACAAATTGACGTGTAAACTTCATTCCAAGTATCATAAACTCGACCGGATTGTTAGGAAAAAAAACTATGACGGGTTAGTTTTCCACCTATAAGGGCCGTATTAATTGGTCCATGTAGACATTTTCACGGGTACATAACGAGACGAGTGAGGTCAGAAGGTGCGAGCCGTTCCCATTTTTGTAGCCCGAACCGAATGGTCGATCAATTCAAACCATTAGATGACTCAATAAGTCCAAATACCAAAAAAAAAAATGTTTTATGTGGAAGATTTTGTTTACTTTAATGTAAATCATGTATTCAATTTTCTTGAGATATTTTCTGATTCGGATTTAATCTAGTATGTATTTGGATTTATCATTTAATTAATTTTCCTAATTACATAGTGGAATTAATTGCTTTTCTCAAATGTTTTTGTATCGTCATCCTGTACGAAGCAGATTATTTATCGTTATTGCATCAGTTGGCATTATATCAAAAATACCCTTAATTTACTATTTCTATTTCAAGACCTACCCTTGTAACCATGTGACCGAAATATAGTGTGGTCACATTTTGATTTTATCGATTATAACGTTAAATTTATGGTGATCGCACTAATTCATTATATTCATACCTTGTATATCTTATTAATCATTTGATTAAAACATCATAAATTTAACGTTATAAACAATGAGATCAATATGTGACCACACTATATTTTGGTCACATAGTCACAAAGGTAGGTCTTGAAGTACAAATAGCAAAATAAGAGTATTTTTGATAATGTCTCGCATCAGTTGTACTATTTAAATTAATCTTACTTAAATAAAATAATACATAAAAAAACTTAAGTACTACACGTTTGAATTTTATTATTTATTAAAACTAGGAAAAGACCGGCGCATTATTTTTTTATATTAAATATATTTTTTTATAAATTTATTGATATAAATGTTTATAAAAAATGTCATATTTTTGTTTAATATAGAAAAAATATATTAGAAAAATTAAATTATTTAATCATTATATTATTTGTATAAAGAAGTTAAACCGTGAAAGAATATGTGTATCGTTGAATTTTATATTGGTGATCTTTTTCTAAAGAAATCAATTATAACATAATAATAAAAACAATATTTTAAATGTTATAGTTATAGTTTGTTTTGATGATTAGTTATGCATCTATAATATGAAGGGTAAAACCCCTAAAAAACCTCCAACTTGCAAAAATATATACAAATAAACCTTCAACTTGAAAAACTGTCATTCAAACCTCGAACTTGTAACTTGTCAGTGAATAAATCCTCGAACTTTAATTCAGTGACAAGTTACAAGTTCAGGGATTGAATGATAGTTTTCCAAGTTGAAGGTTTATTTGTATATATTTTTGCAAGTTGGAGAATTTTTAGGAGTTTTACCCTAATATGAAACATTTGTTATGACAACCCAAATTTTCAAAATTAAAAAAAAAAAGTCTGGATCGACTAGTCCATAAGGCATATTCGATCGATCCAGGCTATTGGCATAACCAAATAAGTCACAATGGTTCGGACCGACTGGTCTATATCTAGACCGACCAGTCTAAGTATTGGACAACGACGAAAGTCACGATTTCTTGTCCGGATCCGAATGAAAGTGACTTACATTCGCCATTTTTTGACCAAAAACTCGGTTTGTCGACCATAGAGACTAGGGCGTGATTTTTCAAGCCATGGGTCCAAATTTCCATCCAGACCTTCCCAAATCCAACTCTACTTAACCCATGCATCCCCCATTTCCTCTTTAACCTCAGACTCAAACATCTCTCTCACAAATCCGAAGAATTTCACGTTCTTTCTTGCTTCTAAGACCAAGAGGAACTCCACCAAGATTCCTATCCATCACTAACGCACGAGGTTAATCCGAGGTGAGTTAATTCGAGTTTAATTCGGAAGTCTTTTCACATGGTATTTGGATTTTTGGGTGTTTTCGTGCAAAATTGATGCTTGATTCGTGTTCTATATGAGATTATATGAGTTTTGGTGAATTATCCATACAAATCGTGCATTTAGAGTGATTTTCTGAAATTTGAGCGTCGGACCGACTGGTATAGGATTAGAATGAAGATTTGGAAAATTTTATTTTCTTATGAATTTTATATTTTAGATTTCTGTTTTGTTGAGTTGTAAAATATTGTTTGATGTGAAAAAATCTATATTCTCTTTAAAATCGAAGTGACAATTCATCCAACTCGAAATACCGGATTTGAATCGTTACAACACACAACTCTAAATTTGATTTTTTATACATACATGATGATGATATTTTATATTAACTAATTTAAATATATTTTATTAAATAAACTTGTTAAATCATTAATTCAATAATTTTCAACAAATCTTAAAAACACAGGAAATACATAAAATTGAGAATATATGGATATAAATTTTAAAAATGAAATATCTGTGATTATTCAGATATATGTATTCGATATGCATCAATATTATTTCTATATTTTTTTAATTTATATTAGAAAATTAATACAATGAAGATGATATATAATAAATACAATTTATAATTAAAGTTTACTTTGGTAATATTACAAATGTCATCAACAATCTTTTCAACAACAGTATTTTTCGTACATCTATTATGTGGTGAAATCAATATTTATTTGTTTTAAATCTGGTTATGAAATGCTTTTTTAGTTTTTGATAATAACAATAAAAACAAACATTTAAATAAATGATATATATAGAAATTATATATAAATAAATTCGTTTAATTATCGAGAATTTTGTTTTTGTAATTATTTTTATTTTTTATAATTTTTCTATTTGATTTTCTATTTTCACAGGCATTGAATATCTTTGCGAAAGAAAAAGAATCTCTATAAATATTTCTCACAGATTCATTTTTAGAACTTCATTTAAATTCAAAAATTCTGAGTGATATGTTTTGTAATTTTGTAAAATTAAAACAATTCTAGATAAAAATTCCTAATAGATTTTGTATGTGAAGATTAATATCAGTTCCCTATTGAAGATAAACTATGTTATTTATAAATCATTTATTACTGAAACTACTTGTAATTGTTATTCTTCATAAATATTGTTTCTATATAAAAACATTCAAGAGATATCTTGGATATTTTATTTATTTTTGGAATAAAAAAATAAGTTTATAAAATCTATTAGTGCTATTTTATGTAATGAGAAAAACTTGTGCTTGAGCTCTTTCGCCTGTCTGCCGAGCTCAGCCATTTTTTGGTTGACGTTAGACCTGTTTCACGAAACCCATTACCAATTACCAAAAAGGTGATTGTGGCATAGTTACTAATCATGACGTTTGACATGCAAGCTTCTCACAAACTTTCAGTGCTTTACAAGTGGGAGAGCACCATCAAACTCGGTAGTACAGGATTCCTCAGGGACACATTGCCGTGAGACTGGAAAAGAAAGACACAAATGGAGCCTTACGTAGCTTTAAGGCGTTGACATTCCAGCCTTCCGCTCCTGCGTCGATCAACCCTGACGATAACAGAAGCCAAAAATAAAAAAAAAAAATACTCAAAAGGAAGAAGGGAATGTACCTCGTCGTCGTCATCCTCGTCCTCGTGGTCGCCGTCGTCGTACCAGCTCGTCAGAGAGTTGGCGTCCACCCCGAAACCCTCAACCAGTGGTACGAGGATTTCATAAGGGATATCGTGATTCCGTAGGGTGACTCCGCCGGAATCACGATATCCTGATGAAATCTCCGTATCACTGATCGCTGGTCTCTGGCAAGCTGGTCTTGTAGGGCGTCCTTCTCTGCCTCAGTGAGTGCGAGGTTATTCTTCATATTTCGGGTGAGAAATGTCAAGCCCCGAACCCACAATATATATTAAATCGAAAAGAAATACAATCCATTGCGCTTACCTTTCGGAGAGCAAAAGCAGAAGCAGTGGCGGATTGCGAAGCAGATGGGAGAAAATAGCATGGGGGTGTCATGTGGGGGAATATTTGCTCTCAGTGATCAAGAAGACGAAATGTGTCGAAAATGCAAGTGGGAGGGAAATGTGCCTTTTATTGCATTTAATAACTGATGTTAGAATATCAAATAAAATAATTAATCAAATAAAATATTTCTACACATATACCAAATCATCAACTGCACACCAACAAAATAAATACCAATGATTTTCTTAAATAATTAATCTTTGGTGTCTTTTATAAAAATATATGATATTCTATTAAATAATTGATATATATATATATATATATGCTTTTATGCAGTTTGACACGCAACCCCGATGTGTGTGTTTATAATAATTATTATTATTAAAAATAAAAAGAGAGGAAAAACCAATTCCACACGCGACCCGAACTCCAATACACACACAATAATTATTATTATTATTATTTCGAGGCGTCATTATCGAGTAGGTGTAGGCCCATTCTACTGTTTTCATTTTTTAAAAATATTTTTCCTTTTCTATTTTTCCTTCGAAAATTTTACAAAATATCGAGCAGATATAGGCATTAGTTATTGGTGGGATTTTCTTAATATATTCTTTAATGTTGATTGTTATTATTTTAAAAAGAAAATCCAAATTCGATATAGCAGCTATGGGTGTCAAAACGAGCCCGGCTCGTGAGCTGGCTCGTGGCTCGCCAAAAAACGAGCGATCTGAGCCGTAATTTTTTCAGGTCGTTAAAAAACGAGCGAGCCTAACGAGGCAGAGCTCATTGAACACGTGTTCAATGATTCTGGCTCGGCGAGCTGGCGAGCTGCTCAACGAGCTGGTATTTTTTTTAAAAATAAATTAAATTTATATAAAAAAACTCTAATATAATTTTATATTAATTTTTTTCATATTATTTATATGATATTATAAATATACTAATTATTATGATGGTGATAATTGAAAATATTAAATGATATAGGTGTTTTAATAAATTTTTATGTATTTATTTAAATTTATAATTATATTTAAAATAAATATAAATAAAAAATATTATATATCCTTGGCTCAACGAGCCGACTCGTTCAGATCGGAAAATTGGCGAGCGATCTGAGCCGAGGTTTTTCTGGCTCGTTAGAAAACGAGCCTAACGAGCTGAGCCCAAAACGATCCGAGCCAAATGAGTCGAGCCCAAAATGATCCGAGCTGGCTCGTTTGACACCCCTAATAGCAGCAAACCTGTTGATTTAAAACCTCCCAATAAAAAAAACGAATCATTTTTACGCCTCATGCAAATTCTATCATTCCATCGTCTGTCCTCTCACGTCTTTTCAACCTGTTGTTAATAATATCAAATTCATAATATTAAATTTCAAACTTTTTTTCTTCTCTATAGATTCTTCACGGATTTTTCAAATTAAAATGGTATAAGGTTTGGTTCCGAAATTTTGAGTGTTTTGAAAAAAAAATTCCACAATTTTAATCGTTCCAAATCTCATTAATATAGATTCTTTCTTAGAAAATGACGTTGACGAAGACAGATATTAAGATGGAAAATATATCTGCAGTTCACACATGATTGTATGTATATACTCGTATATATGTATGAATTTACATACGTTGATTTATGTGTGTATATGCATGTAAATATGTATGCATGTAAATATGTATTTCATGTATTTTTTTGTTAGCTAATTTCATGTAATTTTGTTTTTAATGGAGGCTGTCTGTTGGTGTGTTATTAACAAAACAATGGATGAAACTATCAAAATATTATTTGTAAGGGTAAACTACTTGGTTTCAATGTTAATTAATCTTTTTTTTATAAAGGATGTTAATTAATCTTTGAAGCATCTTATTTCATAGTTAATTTATATCGAAAACTTTGTATTAAAAACATGTTTATTGGAATGTTAGTAACTTTTTTAATCTCAACTCCAAATTATATTAAAAAGTTAAATATTTTTTTAAATGTTTGTTAAATGGATGTTAGAAATCAAATAAAATGATCAATCAATTTTTATCTATAGACAACTGTAAATTATTTCTATGCTAAATGGATGGTACAAAATCCATCGACTACACACAACAAAATAATTAAATAGTTTCATTGTCAATATCAATGATTTTCTTTTTGAAATATTGTCGATATTTAGGACACATGTTTATTTTTAATTAGATTATTTTTATTTTTATTTAAATTTTAAAAAATAAATCCATCTTGTTTTATGAAAATATATTTATTAAAAATACTTTTAATTTATTGGAAAAAATTTTACCCCACTTTTCCAAAGTCAACATCCGAATTTAATTTAACTATTAAAAAAAAGACCGATCCAAAGTACAAAAAAAACAATGCATGGCGCTACCAAATCATTATTTACAAGGGTAAAATTGTAAGTAGATTTTTTATTCGATTATGAAATCAACGAGTACTTTTTCTCTCTATAAATTTTAAATAAATGAATTTAATCTACTTTTATTTAATGGATTCGATGAATTTATTCGATTATGAACCTCACAGTGCATACATACATACAATGTTTTTATTTGAATTTATGATCATGCGATCATTCGTTGTAGGTAGACATACTAAAAATCTATATATATATATATATATCTAAATTTTGTTGTACATTTTATCACTATGGATGCCATCGATCAAATATCACTTACGGAATCGGTCGTCTACGAATCGATCTACATGTACAATCATAGTATGGAAGAGCGAAGCGAGATCTGGTTGTGGAAAGCAACCATGCGGCATACGGGATTAGATCTGGAGAGATGTTATATTTTTCAACCATTCACAAATATAGATCTGAGAATCTTCAACGAACCAGAGAAGTTAGTCGTCGATTGATTCGTTGGAGAAAAAGGAGAGAAGCTACTGAAGCATGTGGTGGGGTCGAACGAACCGGAGATGGAGGATCCAACGCCGGAAAACTTGTTTTCCGGGAAGCACTTCACTGTTATGCCGACAAGGCTTTTCATCATCGCATTTTTAACAAATGGATATCGTCGACAATTTTGACATTTTCAACTGATTACTATAAATACAAAAAAACTATAAGGTTATAACTGTAACACTTCTTTCAATCTTTTTTTTTTGTGTGTGTGTTTTTCAATGAAATATTGTGTTACTTCAAACCCAACGCGGGACATAGGATTTTTGTTTAATTTGTTCGACCAAAGTTAAAGATTGCTTATGACTAACATTTCGTTACTGATATTGCTTGTGACTAGTGAATAGTTTTTCAATTTTTTATTTTACTAAATATTCTATTGAAACCTATTTATTATCCCATTAATTAAAAAAACGGTAGATGATTCTATATGAAATATTGTAGATGATTCGATTCAATAGAAATATGTTTATGTTTTAATTAATTAATTAAAATAATTTACATTCATTAATATAAAATTAACAGATATATAACTTATATTATTTTCAATATCTATTATATCAAAACAGATAAAAAAAACTTTTTGAAAGAAATTTCAATAAATAATAATAATAAATAATTTGTGACACAGTGAAATACACTAATAGTCATCTTGTATTTCAATATTACCAAAAATATTTTTGGAAAAAAAAGAATAACTCATCTATATAGTATTATATGAATATGGTAAATCAATAAGTTTCAAAGAAAATACATATTCACAAAATAAATTTCTTCTGTACATGTCTTTACGTATTTTCTTTAATCAATAAAATAACATTTCATGAGAATGTCTTTACGTATATTTTTTAATCAATAAAATAATATTTCATGAGAATTTAATCACTTTGCTAAATCGAGGGAGATTTGGGTTATTGGATTTTTTAGTCAAACTCCATTCATGATATATAAAAGAGCAAAATTCAGCAATAAATATAATTATTAGTGGATTAATAAATTCTATTGTAACGTTTTTTCTTTGTTTTACATTATAAAAACCGTTTTTCATAAAGTTGGGAAAATACAGTAAATTAGATATGAGAGAAATAATTTAAATTGAATGTTCTTATTTATTTAACCACAATTTATATAATAAATCTTTGTTTCATTATTGTGGCATGATTAAGGTTCATCAATATAGGGTTTCTGTTCATCTTCTGTCAGATTTCTACTAAGTGTGAATACAATTATACGACTAGTGACCTAATCATAATCGTATCTTTTATATGGTGCAGAAAATTAAAAAAGTAAAGTGTCCAGTTATGATCATTTTGCGTCCTTATCATCCGCCATCATTGTTAGTGCCCAAATTTCTAGCGTGAGATTTAACACTATGTTCTCTTTGTTTTCGGTATATTCATTGCACAATATGTGATACTCATATATTCATTGCATATAATTAATTAAAAACTCGAAATTTTAAAAGTATATTGATAAAAAAAATCCATAACTACTCTTGGTTTTCGACATGCGGAAAATGATAACACTTTCATATTTAACAAAGCATCCAAATTTCATTCATTAGATCTCATAACTACAGAAACTTAAACTTAAAAAAGTCGGACTCATAATTAAACATAACTAAAATATAAAGATAGGTAGGTGGTGGTGGGTTTTTCCGCTCAGCCGTCGATCAACCCTGACGATAATAACAGAAGGAAAAAATAAATAAATACTCAGAAATAAGAAAAGGAAGGAGAAGATGTACCTGTTTACGGTCGTCCTCGTCCTCTTCGTCGCCGTCGTCCTCCTGGTAGGACGACTCCCCCGGAATCACCACATCCCTTACGAAGTCCTCGTACCACTGGTCGAGGACTTCTGGGGTGGGCGCAGCGTCTCTGGCGAGCTGGTCGTGCAGAACGTCAAACTCACCTTATGCTCCTCGCTGTCCTTACCCGGCCGTTTCTTGATCAGGGGCGGCGTCGGCGAGCTCTTTCCTCTCGAGGAATAACCTCTTTTCACGACGTTAGCGAGATTTTTCTTCATGTTTTGTGTGGTAAATGACAAGGCCCGACCTCAAAATATATACTAAAACGAAATGTTATGCAATGGGAAAAGCAGAAGCAGAAGCGGTGGCAGAGGCTGACAGAAGGCGGGTTGGGAAGTTGCCATTCCCGTCGCCGTCCAGCAGGCAGAGCAGATGGGAGAAAATAGCATGGGGTTGCCATGCTTGGGCATATTTTCTCTGAGTGATCAGGAAGACGAAAGGGGTCGAAAATGGAAGTGGGAGGGAAAGGTGACTTTCACTGCATTTAATTATTATTATTATTAAAAATAAACAGATAGAGGAAAAATACTGCAACCAATTATACACGCGACCCAACTCAAATATACACACAATAACCATTATTATTATTATTTCGAGGCGTAGTAGGTGTAGGCCCATTCTACTGTTTTCAATTTAAAAAAAAATATTTTTCCTTTTTTTTAGATAATTTAAAAAATATCGAGTAGATTTAGGCATTAGTTATTGGTGGGATTTTCTTAATATATTCCTTAATGTTGATTGCCATTGTTTTAAAAAGAAAATCCAAACTCCCCAAAAAAAAACGAATCTTTTTTGCTCATGCCATCGGCTGTCCTCTCACTGTTGTTAATAATCATAATGATGGTTTCATTTTCATCTATTTTCATTCGTCTATATGCATTATTACATAGTAGATTTCATTTGGTTTTTGTAAAAGTAAAAGGCCATTTATAATCTATTTATTCGAAATCTAGAATCGGTAACATATTTTGGGAGCATCGAAATTAGGAATTTGTGTATGTATGGGTGAATTGAAATACTACATCTCCTCTATTGTGCTTTTCAAAATAAAAACTTCTTTATTTTTTTTTTTTGAAAATATCACAAATAACTTTTCGGAAGATATGTGAAACAACGTACGACCCTTTGCAGAGGTTGGATGTATTAAAAATAGAAAATAAAGCTACTATTATTATTGGATGCGCTAACAATAGAAAAATAAAACTAATTATTATTAAATTTATGCAGATTATGTTAAATAATTAAGACTAATTTGATTTTGAATAGAAATATATCACGTGGGGTCGCTAAAAGTTCCTTTATCCATTGTTTTGGCATTTTAGATCCAAAGACTAACGTTAGCTAGTGAATCCATAATATATTTATATATGTCTTTTTCATATTGTGGATAGCTGATAGAGAGCAAAGCATCTAGACTGACCAGAAGGCTTTGACCAAATGATGAGCTGGCATTTGCCATAGTCACACGTTCACGCATTAGTATATTGACCCTCTCTACGTGTAAATATCGTTGTCCGACCACTATCTCCACTCCACATAAGCTTTCTAGATTCTTTATATTATTATTAATTTATTAGTTCAATATTCATTTCACACAACTCTCTTGCCTTTGTTTTTTCAAGAATTACATTTCTCGCCTAATATTTATTTTTCTTTGCGCATTTTCCGTCCTTATTTTTATTAGTTTTCAGTATAATTATTAGATCCGAATCTATCGTATGATTGAATAAGAGTTGTAAAACTCTGTAAGTAGATAATAATACGCAGTATCGTGTGGCAAAAAATTAATATTAATAGGTAAGAATTTTTAAAAGTTTTATTATTAAATTTAAAGTTAAATCTAAATTATCAAATTAGAGCTTCTATATATATAAGTTCCGTTCTGAAACATTATAATTATTAATTAATTGGGTACCGCTTTTTGCTAAACATATTGATAATCCATGTTTTCTCATCGAAAATTGCTGGACATAAGAGCAAAAGATTAGAGGATATTTTACCAAAAAAAATATATTAGAGGATATAAAATATCTTAATAAATTCTTACATTTTTTTTTTCATTTTGAAAATACGCAAGTTATGGATAAAAATAATTGATATTTTAATTATGCTTTTATGCAGTTTTTGACACGCAACCCCGATGCGTATGTATGTGTATATATAAATTATTATTATTATTATTAATAAAAATAAAAAGAGAGAAAAAAAGTACTGCAAGCAACTCTACACGCGACCCGAACTCCAATACACAATAATTATTATTATTATTATTTCGAGGCGTCATTATCGAGTAGGTGTAGGCCCATTCTACTGTTTTTAATTTTTAAAAAATATTTTACCTTTTTTTTATCTTTTCTTCGAAAATTTTACAAAATATCGAGCAGATATAGGCATTAGTTATTGGTGGGATTTTCTTAATATATTCTTTAATGTTGATTGTTATTATTTTAAAAAGAAAATCCAAATTCGATATAGCAGCAAACCTGTTGATTTAAAACCCCCAAAAAAACACGAATCATTTTTACGCCTCATGCAAATTCTATCATTCCATCGTCTGTCCTCTCACGTCTTTTCAACCTGTTGTTAATAATATCAAATTCATAATATTAAATTTCAAACTTTTTTTCTTCTCTATAGATTCTTCACGGATTTTTCAAATTAAAATGGTATAAGGTTTGGTTCCGAAATTTTGAGTGTTTTGAAAAAAAAATTCCACAATTTTAATCGTTCCAAATCTCATTAATATAGATTCTTTCTTAGAAAATGACGTTGACGAAGACAGATATTAAGATGGAAAATATATCTGCAGTTCACACATGATTGTATGTATATACTCGTATATATGTATGAATTTACATACGTTGATTTATGTGTGTATATGCATGTAAATATGTATGCATGTAAATATGTATTTCATGTATTTTTTGTTAGCTAATTTCATGTAATTTTGTTTTTAATAGAGGTTGTCTGTTGGTGTGTTATTAACAAAACAATGGATGAAACTATCAAAATATTATTTGTAAGGGTAAACTACTTGGTTTCAATGTTAATTAATCTTTTTTTTATAAAGGATGTTAATTAATCTTTGAAGCATCTTATTTCATAGTTAATTTATATCGAAAACTTTGTATTAAAAACATGTTTATTGGAATGTTAGTAACTTTTTTAATCTCAACTCCAAATTATATTAAAAAGTTAAATATTTTTTTAAATGTTTGTTAAATGGATGTTAGAAATCAAATAAAATGATCAATCAATTTTTATCTATAGACAACTGTAAATTATTTCTATGCTAAATGGATGGTACAAAATCCATCGACTACACACAACAAAATAATTAAATAGTTTCATTGTCAATATCAATGATTTTCTTTTTGAAATATTGTCGATATTTAGGACACATGTTTATTTTTAATTAGATTATTTTTATTTTTATTTAAATTTTAAAAAATAAATCCATCTTGTTTTATGAAAATATATTTATTAAAAATACTTTTAATTTATTGGAAAAAATTTTACCCCACTTTTCCAAAGTCAACATCCGAATTTAATTTAACTATTAAAAAAAAGACCGATCCAAAGTACAAAAAAAACAATGCATGGCGCTACCAAATCATTATTTACAAGGGTAAAATTGTAAGTAGATTTTTTATTCGATTATGAAATCAACGAGTACTTTTTCTCTCTATAAATTTTAAATAAATGAATTTAATCTACTTTTATTTAATGGATTCGATGAATTTATTCGATTATGAACCTCACAGTGCATACATACATACAATGTTTTTTAAAGGAGATCTGTATTATCTTTTTATGAAAAAACGTGTATAATCAAAATTATACATTATATATATATAGTCACTCCAATGGGTATAATTAAAACTAATTTGACACCTTCATAAATTATACTTAATAATGATTTCTAAATTACATTACATATACACACCAACTTGTTTTGGTTATAAGATAGAAAATAAATATGTGATTTTCTCTGTAAAAAAAATTATGTGAATCAGCAAGAGTTTGAATTGAATCAAAACAAAAGACAGCACTTACCCTTCACGTAACCAATTTTGCATAAACTCCGAATGTCTATACCTACATACATACATACAATAATTATTATTATTATTAGTTCATTTAATATCCTGCTTTAAAATTACTTTCCCCTATATATCCGTTTTTCGAGGCGTCATTATTGTATATAGATATTATTAGGGGTGTCAAACAAGCCAGCTCGGATCATTTTGGACTCGGCTCATTTGGCTCGGATCGTTTTGGGCTCAGCTCGTTAGGCTCGTTTTCTAACGAGCCAGAAAAACCTCGGCTCAGATCGTTCGCCAGTTTTCCGATCTGAACGAGCCTAACGAGGGATATATAATATTTTTTATTTATATTTATTTTAAATATAATTATAACTTTAAATAAATACATAAAATTTTAATAAAACATCAATATCATTTAATATTTTCAATTATCACAATCATAGTAATTAGTATATTTATAATATCATATAAATAATATGAAAAAAATTAATATAAAATTATATTAGAGTTTTTTATATAAATTTAAATTAATTTTTAAAAAAATATCAGCTCGTTGAGCAGCTCGCCAGCTCGCCGAGCCAGGCTCAATGAACACGTGTTCAATGAGCTCTGGCTCGTTAGGCTCGTTTTTTAACGAGTTGAAAAAATTACGGTTCAGATCGTTCGTTTTCTGGCGAGCCACGAGCCAGCTCGCGAGCTGGACTCGTTTTGACACCCCTAGATATTATGTCGATTTCCTTTTTTATATTTTCTTAGATAATTTTATATTAGTTTCGTATTCAATACGATGTATCTATTAATTTATTTCAACTTTTAGATAATTTGTTTACTATAAGATCAATAAATAAACTTATACGGTTTGCTATAATAAAGTGAACCTATCACCATAATAACTTATACTTAATATTTAAATATTCTACTCGATTTTGTTTCTCTCACTAATTTATTATCAGTTTATTTTCAATGAAAGTGGTGGAAAAAAAATATATAAGAGGTCAAATGTTCATTGGCCAGTCACCTCTATATTACATTACATGTGCGCATCATTTTTCGTAAAATATATAAAGGCATTTGAATTTTCCCACGTTTCCGTAATTTAAATATTACCATTATTTACAATATAAATAAAATTATATTTTTTGTTCATAAGTTCTAAAAACGAAAACTGATTATTAAGTTAAAATGAAAATCCAAATAATGAAAGCGAAGAGAAGTATCTCGTAAAGTTATTTTCTTCTATTCTCTTTTTTTTTTTGCTATTTGATTTTATTATGATTGTAGATATATGTGTGTATGTCATATGTGTGCTCAAGCGTGCGTTGTAACGTACATATATAACAGTGCAATACATAATTGTTTTTTATAATTATTTATATTAATTTTTTTTAGAAAAAATATGTACGACAGAGTTTGGTTAAACGCAACCAAACAAACGAAATATATAATATAAATAAAAATATGTTCT